TGTGTGTGTGTGTGTGTGTGTGTGTGTGTGTGTGTGTGTGTCTGTGTGTAGGGGCCATTCTGCCTAGCAGGAACATTCCTCTAGAGGCAACCACTAACACAGGCTGGGATTAAGGGAAGCACAGGATGGGACCAGAGGGATTAACAGAAGGACCAGCTTCAGGCTGGATGCCTGGGACAGGTTCTCAGATTTGATGACTTATGCTGGGGTCAAAGAATGAGCAGGAGGAGGATAGCTTATTGGATTAGATTTCCAGTACAGTTGTGTGGCTTGGATGTCAAATATTGCTTGTCTCACAGTCAGGGAGAGATCTGAGATCAAGCTGTCAGCTGGGTTGATTCCTATTCAGCCCCTACCCCTTGATTTATTGATGGCTCCCTTCTCTCTGTGTCTTATTGTTGTCTCTTTAGCGTGCGTGTGTGTGTGTGTGTGTGTGTGTGTGTGTGTGTGTGTGTGTGTGAGAGAGAGAGAGAGAGAGAGAGAGAGAGAGAGAGAGAGAGCGCCCTAATTTTCTTTTCCAGTGAGGATACCAGTCATGTTGAATTAGGGCCTGCTCTAATGCCTCATTTTAATGTATTACCTCTCTAAAGACAAATGTGCTCCCATTACGAGATAGGCCTACAGCATAAAGTTTTGGAGGGATACAGTGCAGCCCCAAACACCAGGGAGAAGATGGGCTAAAGACTCTAGGTCAGCCTGCCCCATGTTTAGAAGCCTGGGGACAGGAATGACATTCATGTGATCAAGACACTGGTTCTAAAGGAGGAAGGTGCAGGGGCTTCAGAGGCAGGATCATGCCTCTGAAGAGTGAGGACTCTCTACACCAGGAGGTAAGAATTCAGAGTTCCTGAAGGGCATAGAGACAGCATCAGCTGCATTGAAAACACTCACTCTGTGAGAAGCAACTGGAGGGAGTGAGAACTGCTAAGCAGCAGGTATTCTGCTGCCTCAGCACTACTGACATGTCAAGCCAGATGGTTCTGTGTTGTGGTGTCTCAGTGGGTGGCAGATTAGGAGAAATGTAGCACAATGAATCTTAACAGTCTGAGCTGCACTTTTTCCCCCAGACCCTTCCATGCAAAGTCACATCATGGTAGCACCTTACCCCTAGTCACAACAAGAAAATGTCTCCATGCCCTCACTTATAGTCCCACACAATTCTTCACTGTGAGGACTGCTGGTTGAAAAAGGGACAAGAGATAACTCACAGGAGTCACTAGGCCAGAGAGGCAGCTGGGCTGGGCTTGAGGGAGGTTAGAAAGACAAAATCAACAGGAGGATCTTCTCTTGCTTTGGTGTCTTCTTAGGAGCTTACATTTGATGATGTCACTTTCCTAAGTCACTGGGTGGGCTACCCCTTGTGTGCTTAAGGGGACTCAGAAGAGCATGGAGCATGTGCCTGTTGTATTCACTAGGCAGGGTGTCCTGGGACTGGCAGGACATTGTATGTAATGGATGTGAAGGATCGGATGAGTCGTCTCTGAACCCAGCCAGCCACTCATCAAGTCTATGTGTTGCCAGCCTTACTGATGCTCCCAGCAAAGTCTTAGGGATCTAATCTGACCAGTTTTCTGGTTCTGGAAATCTGTTTATCAGAACAAGATTTTACAGTTGTAACGACTTTTCGGGGGGGGGGGGCCGGTTTTGGAGGTGTTAGCTCTACAAAAGTGAGTCTAAGTGATTTTCAAACAAACCTGAATGACAGCTCTGTCTTCTGCAGCCCAGAGGAATCCCCTGCTGGCTGGTAACTCTCTGAGCAGTTGTTCTCCAACAGCTGGAGTGTATATAGTGGGTAGAGGGTAGGGGCGTGGAGGTTCTGGGCTGAGCATGTAGTATCTGGCTAGAATCCAGAGTATGGCTGCTGTCTGGACACCTCCCCCTGGGCATGCAGGTCTCTCCCTGGAGATAATGAAGTTCTTGCTCATTCTCAGGGTTAGTGGTGACTTGTGGAGCTACCTTCAGGGGAGGTTCGATGTTGAGTCTGTGCTCAGCAGAATGGAGCATCCTGATGGGTTGGGTGGCAGGGTGGGAGAAATGGTAGCCCATTTGGTTTGCAACTCCAACAGGTCAGAGTGGCACATTCTTTATTTCTGATCCTTCCAGGCTATGCCTTCCCACATCAGGTGCTTCACGCTGTTCTCTTGATCTGCAGGCCTTGGCTTTCTATCAGTCTCCACTGAAAATGCCACTTCTTTCTTAGACTCTTTCTTGATTGTCTTGAATTGTAAAACAAAACAAAACAAAACAAAAAAACACCAGGGAGCTCGTCAGTGCCTGTGTGTGTGCTTGTGTGCCTGTGTGGGTGTTTGGATTCTGGGGGCTGTGAAGTGCTTGAATGCATCTAAGGGTCTCTATGCATGTGTGTTCATAGATGTCTGAGTGACGCTGAAAGCTAAAGACACTCATTGCTGATGCTTCTAAGTTCTGTGCATTTTGTTTTTTGGGGGACAGGCTCTCTCATTGGCCTGAAACTTGCCAAGTAGGCATGGTTGGCTAGTCCGGAAGCCTCAGGGATTTCCTATCTCCACTTCCTTACAATCATGGGCTAGTCACTGGGCTCTCTCTTTTTTTTTTTTTAAATGTGGATTCTGGGGATTGAGTTCCGGTCCTTATGGAAAATACTTGACCAACTGAGCCAGCTCCCTAGCTCCCCATTCACTGGCTTTTTAAAGTAAGAAAATGTCATGGTTAGGAAGATTCTTCTGGCCAGAAGACAGATTACGACTTGGAGGAATAAGCTGTGATGTCGGATGCTGAGTTGGAAGTGGTGATCCCCATGGGAGTGGTGGCTGCTTGGACTGGAATCCCAGCTGCAGTGACAGGGATAGTGATTGGCCATGTGCAGGGCTGGTGGAGTGAGCAAGGGATGAGACTTGTGATGTCTTGGAGCTCAGTGGAACCTTTTGTTGTAACTTCCCTTTGGAATGGACTATGAAATCTCACTTCTAAAAGGCAACATGTATGTTTATTGCTAATTGAGTATCAGGTAGCAGATGGTCCCCAAGGGGGTATCCACAGCTTGAGGGCTTGTTTGGAACTGCTAACCCATGGCTGTGTCCATTCCCACTGGTCCTTGCTTGCTTGCTCCAGGTATATAAACGCATTTTTAATATCACTTCAAAAGTAGCTTTACTACTGGGTGATGGCAGTGAACACTTTTAATCTCAACACTTAGGAGGCAGAGGCTGGTGGATCTTCAGGTTCAAGGACAACCTGGTCTACCTAGTGAGTTCCAGGCCAGCCAGGGCTAGACCCTGTCTCCAAAAAACAAAACAAACACCAACCATCCAAACAAAAACCCCACGCTTCTCTGTGCATGGAGAATACTCCTCAGAGAGAGGGTAACAAAGGAGTCTGATGATAGCAGGTGGACAACAATTTAATTCAAATTTAATAGGAGATCTAGAGCCATGAAGGGTATTCTAGGCAATAAACAAACAAACAAACAAACAAACAAGCTGCAAAGTGGTGTGAGGGGATGCCTGGAGGGATGAGAGCACTAATCTGGAGCTATTTCCTTTGGCAGAGATTGTGAAAGATCTTGAGTCTTGCTAGCTTGTTAGCCCTAGGCAATTCCAGAAGGTTATGCTCTCATCACCACACTGTCAATAAAGTATCTAGTGTGCATCTGTTCATTTCTGGCCCTGGAGGAGGAAGCCCTAGCTTTGTTCCTTTTCATCATAGCTCGAGTGTCTGGTCAAAAATACCCAATGAATGTTTGCTGAATGACTCAAGTGGCGTCAGAGCTGCAGTGTGATGGCTGACTGGTCTTTTTCTCCTTTTCCTCAAATATCCTTTACTTCTTGGTGGCTACCTATCTCCTAGCCTTTGATTATACTGGCTCAGCTCTATTTGACCCAGCAGATCTTGGCTCCCTGGAAAATCCGCTCCCCAAGGTTCAAGGTGGGTGAGTTCTGCACCCTCCCTTACCTTCTATCTTTAGGTCTGTTTAATGTCCTGCCTAAGGGCAGTGCTGGGTAGGGCCCTTGACATTTTATGATTGTTCAGTGGACTTGAACCTGAACCTTGGGACTTGGTTTTAAACTCGTGACTCTTAAATAGTATAGTGATCAGGGTAGTCTCCTGGGGGTTAGCAGGCCTGAGTACAGGTTTCATCTTGGCTTTTTCTACCTGTACAATGTCAGGCAGATTGATTTGTAGATTAAGGTATTCTATTTCTTAGAGGGAAATGATCTGATATTCTTGCCAACTTGGTCCCATTTCAAGGACTCTGTGATTACAGGGGTTGTGAGTCTGAGTCCTGGGATATTTGAGGTCCAGTACATATTCCTATCTGGAACTTTAAGATTTAGCTGTTGCTACTGACTAGGAAAGAACTAGGGTTTTCTTACCAATTTGTGTGTGTGTGTGTGTGTGTGTGTGTGTGTGTGTGTGTGTGTGTGTCTGTATGCATGCATGCAGATAGTCATGGACTCCAGGAAAGAAAGTTAGAGGCAGTTGTGAGCTGCCAGATTTGGTTACTGGAAAGTGAACTCTGGTCCCCTGGAAAAGCCTTAGGTGCTCTGACTAATTGAGCCATGTCTTCAGCCTCCTTTCTCATAGATCTCATAGATCTCATAGAGAGATCGACATCTGTTCTATGCTAGACACAGAATGTTTCCTTCGTATTGTCCAGCTAGTGCCTTCAGTAAATCTGTGAGATGGGCCGAGGCATAAGTACATCTCATAGGTGAGGAAACAGACCTAGAAAAGCAAAGATAGCTAGTGGAGGTCTTCCCTAGGCTGGATGAATATCAGTCTTGCCAGCTAGCCCAGGTCTCAGGCCTGCCTGTGATCATTATGCTTGCCTTCTGAATATCTGTTCTCTCTCTCTCTCTCTCTCTCTCTCTCTCTCTCTCTCTCTCTCTCTCTCTCTCTCTCTCTCTCTCTCTCTCTCTCTCTCTCTTTCAGAGAGCCAGCTGCTCCCCGGGAACAACTTCACCAACGAGTGCAACATCCCAGGTAACTTCATGTGCAGCAACGGGCGGTGCATCCCGGGCGCCTGGCAGTGTGATGGGCTGCCTGACTGCTTCGACAAGAGTGACGAGAAGGAATGCCGTGAGTGGCTGCCTGTGGTTGTGGGCGGGGCTGGATAAGGGCGGAATTCCAGGACAAGAACAGGAGGTCCAGTTTGGCTTGGATCTTGTGCCCTGTTTGCTGTGAGCTACTGGACCAGCTGCCCCTTTGTCTTGGAGCAGTGTGGACTCTGCCGAAGTGTAGTGTAGTAAGATAGAGGATCCCATGCTTGCTTGGATTAGCAGAAGAGACTCTCATCAAGCTCTAGGCATACCTTTCCTGGATGCTACGCTCACCTTTAGAATCCCAGGCATTATATTCTGTGGTGCCTCTCAGTTTTCAAGGACCATGTCTGGCTGCCTTGGTCCATGGCTGGAGACTTATCTGTGAGTGTGTGGTAGACTTCTCCCAATGATTCTGTAAGACCTAGTATTATATACTGAGTGGATACTTTGCTCGTATCTCTGTGCTGCCTTACCTCCTTTGCTCTGTAGATAGTCACAGTCTGGATCTTCACTGGATCACCCCTTTTCAGTGAGTACTAGCATGTTATGGACTCTACTGTCCTCTACCCCATCTCCTTCTTTAGCCTCTCGTCCATTTTGTGCTCTGAAACATGCTTAAGATCTGGCTTAAGGATAATCCACAGGAGAGGAGGGGCCAGGATGTCCATTGAAAATCCTCCCTGCCCTGAGGAGTCTTTCTTCTTCCTCTGAGTTGCTCTTTGCACAGTGAGCTTGGCTTTAGGTCACCTCCCTGGCATCCTGGCAGGTAGGCAACCTCGGGAGGTATGGCCCTGGCTCATTAGATGAGCAACTGCTATGAAACCACACATCTCAGCTCTGTCATAGGCTTCGGCAGTCAGGCCAGGTGGCATTTCTGTTGGGAGGACTCTCTGTTCTGGCTCTCAGTCAGCTGTGGCTCTGGGAGGCAGCTGAGGACAAGGTTCTGGAGGATAGGAACTTGAATTTTTATCGGAACCTTTCTTGGGTTTGAGGTTCTGTCTGTTAATGCACAAGAAGGAACACTGGGTTTGGAGCCACCCACGGCAGCTAGACACTTGCTCACTAATAGTGTGCTTGTGAAGTCATGCTGCCCATTCTGAGGTTGACCTCTCACCTGCATGGGATATGGGGTCCCCCCCCATGCCTATTTCTGCCCGTGAGAGAAGGTTTGGGGAGGAGAAAACTGGAGAGACTTGGAGGCTGTATTAGATTTTGTTACGTGTGATTTTTCTCATTAAATTGTTAAACCTCATACATTCTTTTTATATTATTTTCCCTTAACTTTTTAAAAAAGTATTAGATCTCTGTCACTGTTTTGTTGCTTCTAGCATAACTTTAAAACTTCTAGAAATCTAACATTTTAAAATTGAGTTTCAAATGTGATAGAATGTGTGAGGCCTGTCATCGGCCTGCCTTTAAGGAACATTAAACACTCTATAAGAATATAGAGTTACCATTTTCAGGACACTGTGTGCCTTTCAACAGCAGTAGATATAGACTGTCATTAGCTGGCGGGTGATACTCAGCTCATGAATGTGTAAAGGAATGCAGGATTAGCAGCTAGTCCAGCCCCACCTCTGTTAGTAGCAGCTGTGCGACATTACTGACTTCTCTCGAAGTCTCTGCCGTCTCTGGGTACAGTCTAGCATGCAAGAATTCCTACAGAAATGGGAAGAGGTGGTGGAGAGAGACTGTTGTAGACAAGGGTTGTGTCAGCAGCTGCTTGGAGCTGTTTGGTTTGGTTTGGAGCAGGCTTGTTCCTGGGTATCCTCCATCCTACCCCTCAAGTGTGACAGACACCCAACAGGCATTTGCTTAGTGTTTGATGCAGATGTAATTAATATTTTTTACTGTACCTACAAACGAATTGTCTGCCCAGTTTTGCATTCAGTGGAGAAAACAACTCTTGCTTAGGTATTAAAGGAAGTGGAAGTCCCTTTTCTAAGAGACATTGAGCTTTCCCTTGAGCTGTCTTTCATAATCTTCTCCAGCCATAGAGCTGAGTGTGAGATTTGGAGGAAGAGCATCCTGACTCAGACATGATCCTCTCCTGCATCCTAAGGGGAATATGTAATCTATAGCAACCACTGGTGAGATTAAAGAACATTCTTTCCCATGAGAGGACTCCAGTTTTGTCTTGTCTTAATGGGAACAGTAAAGCGTCTAATCGTGAGCTCCGTGGTGATGTCTGACAGTGGAGATGACACCCCCATCCTTACCCGACCCCCATTTCCTGGGACTGGATTCTCAGAAACAAGACTGTGCTGAAGGGCGGGAGCTTTTCCTGCCTGTGCCCACAGACTGCCCACTTGTTTTGCTGAAGGTCTGCACTGGCTTGCTTTCACTGGCCAGGAGCAAAGTCTGGGACTTATTTTAGTCTTGGCAGCATTGAGTAATATCTTTAAAATAAACTCTCTTTTCCTGGTTATTTTCATAGTTGAGAGGAGTTCATGTATTTTACATTTTTAATTTTTGTAATTAACAAGGTAGAATGCTTATATTTCTAGCAGTTAGTTGTATTTCCTTTTAAGGTATCTGTTGATGAATTGAAATTAATTCTCACCTGGGTATTGACTGTTGTGCAGAGTGCCTCTGGAGGGCCTCCCTCCTAGCGCTGGGGTTCGGAGGCTTGTTTTGGTGTGCTTCTAGTATATTTCTGTTCTTGGCTAGTGAGTTGCCCTGAGTGATCAGCTTATTCAAATCACTTTTCATGTCTTCCCTCTGCTTTCTGTGGTTATAAAATGATGAGACATATGTTTCAGGATATGCTATGTCTCCATGAGAGTGCTCATTTTGAGGAGCAACAGTGAGTATATGCTTGAGTGTCCTAGGCATCGGACTGAGCCAGACACTTTATGTCCTAGGAACTCACTGGGTTGTCAGGGAAAGCTTTACTGGGAAGGAGCTGTTGTCACAGAGGCACAGCAAACACACAGAGCTTGCATGTTAGCCCTGTAAGACCCCATAGCCTTCCTCCATCAGAGAGTCCCAAGGGTCTTTGTTGTTGTTGTTGTTGTTGTTTACCTGTGTAGGTGTCTCTTAGCTGATCTTGTGGATCTGTATTACTCTTGGATCTATGTTACCTGTGTTGTGCTTGTTGTAGTTAACAGAAATTCCTCCAACTAATACAGAAGATAGTTGGCTTATAAAGAAAGGGTTATTTTGGAGTTTTCGAGTTTTTACTTTAGGACCCAATTGGCTCTGTTGCCTGTGAAGAAGATAGTGTGTCATGGTGGGAGAGTGCTCAGTGAAGTTCAACCTCATGACTACGAAGCAGAAAAGAGAATGAGGAGTAAGGGCCAGGGGTTTCATCATCCTTGTCAGGGACACACCCCCAGTGGCTTAAAGGCTTCCCAGTGGACTATCTCTTTAAAGAGCTATTATTTTTAATTATGTGCGTGTGCGACAGAGGGAGGGGGGAGAGAGAGAGGGGGGGGGAGGAGAGACACACTTGGATGTGCATGTTTGCATGTAGCCAGGTGCCTGTGGAGGCCAGAGGGAAGGGGGGACTGGCAATCAAACTCAGGTCCTCTGAAAGAGTAGCAAGTGCCCTTATCTGTCCTGTTATATCACTAACCCTGGACCCACCTCTTCAGGCTCCATCACCTCCTAATTCTGCCACTAAAACTTTAACACTTGAGCCTCTGAGGGACATTCAGGATCCAAACTATAGGAAAAAAATCCAACACGTCAATAATGTTTTTCTACAGTAATGATCTTTAAGGTGGCCGTTAGTCCTGTGAGCCTCTGAAGCCTTTTCCTAGGAGCACAAGGCCATGCCCAGTGCTAAAGCAGAGACACAGATGTGTCTGGAGCAGAGAGTGGTGAGACCTTCCTGTTCTGCCATGGCTTTCACTGTTGTCTCCGTGTCCCGACAGACTTGGGGACAGGTTTTAATGTTGGGAAGGGGTTCCTCCTCACAAGTGGGATTATTTCTCCTTGGGAAAATTGCATTGTGTCTTTGGTCACGTGTAGGACTTTTATCATCTCTGACTTGTACCTGGGTGCATGCATGTCTGGTGGGGTGTGGAGGAGGAATTAAAAGATGTTAAATGAAAACATTTTAATGAATCTCCAAAACCAGAGATGTGGGAAAGTGGGTGCAGACTTGGGATCAGGATTCCACTTGTCCCCACTGTACCCAGCTCTTGCTTACATCATGCTCAGGCATGATGGCGGAAGAACTTGACCGTTTCAGCAGCAAGTGTGGAACCCTCGTCCCCCAGAAGTGTAAGGGGGTCCTCCTCTTTTTTGTCACTGTCTTAGGCTTCTGCCTCTCGGTGGCACCACATGTAGTGTTTTCTTTTAAACCAACTGCTTCTAAGTTAGCATGGACTCAGGGCAAGCAGAGGGGAAAGTGATGTTTGAGTTTGCAAGTTTGAACAGGAATCTGGCTGTTTCACTAAGGTGCCTACTAATGGCCTCACATGCACAAAGATGGCGAATCCAGGCTTGTCACAGGCTGCAGACAGTGTGCTTTGGGATGGTGTGGCCAGGGAAAGCGGGAGCCTTTCAGTGAGTTGTGGGATGCAGCTACAGCAGATTGGATTTTTCCCTTTCAGCTGTGTCAAAACAGAATTGCCAAGCCACCAATATTTTGAATCAAGTAGTGCCACCAGCTGCATTCTGAGGTAGGACTTCTACAGCGCGGTGCCTCTGGATTCACCGTGCTTTGTGTTGGAGTTTAGCAGAGTGGATTCGTCCTTGCTTGATGATGAGGTTTAGCAGAATGGATTAGTTATTTTTCTTGCTGTTGTGACTAAATAATGACAGACCGCGTAGAAGGGAGTAAGGGGTCATTGCTCCCTGCTTCAGAGGGTTCAGGCCGTCATGCTGGGAAGGGCTTCGTGGAGAAGTGCACTTCAGATCCTGGTAACCAAGAAGTGGGACAGAATACAGGAAGAGCCAAGGCAAGATGTACCCTTAAGAAGCATCCCCCGTGACTTCCTCTAGCTAAGCCCCACTTCCTGCCTTTCATTGCTCTTAGTAAAGACATCATGTTTATTACGAGTTCATCATGAGATCAATCCATTGATT